GCACTGTGGTTTAAACTAGAATCATTAGTTGCTTGACATGAGCTACCGTCTTATGGGGACCAATCTCAACTCTTTCTTCTTAGGTCAAACGCAAACAAGATGGCCTCGAGTCGCTCACCAGAAACAACTGCCTCAGGGTTGAAAATTATCCATTGTCGATATTTTTCTAATATTGAATTTGAGCATAGAATATCTTTAAACTATAATTTAAAGAAATGTCATGACTTGGCACATTTAAACTTTAGCTTAAACGGGGCAAATCAAATTAATATGTGCAAACTTGATAAAAGACTACTTAAGAATGGTACAGACAAAGTTTAGTCATTCATCAGTCATTTCAGAAGGAAACATATGTTCAAAGGTTTTTCTTTTTTTTAGCTTTAGTGCCCCTAAAAGTGGCCATTCAAATTAATATGAGCAAACCCGATAAAAGACTACCTAAGAATGCCACAGACAAAATTTGGTGACCATCCAAAAATTAGTTCTGAAGGAGACGTTTAAAGGTATTTCTATATTTAGCTTTAGCAGCATCACAAGGGGCCAATCAAATAAATATGAGCAAACTTGATCAAAGACTACCAAAGAATGCTACAGACAAAGTTTGGTGATCATCCAGCAATAAGTTCAGTAGGAAATGATGTTCAAATGTTTTATCTATTTTTAGCTGTAGTGGCCCCTAAAAGGGGCTAATCAAATTTATATGGACAAACTTGATAAAAGACTCCCCAAGAATGCTACAGACAAATTTTAGTGATCATCCATCAATTAGTGCTGTAAAAGGAGATGCATAAATGCATTTCTATTTTTTGCTTTAGCACCTCCAAAAAAGGGTCAGTCAAATTAATATGAGCACACTTAATAAAAGACTATCTAACAATGCTATAGACAAAGTTTGGTGATCATCCATCAATTAGTTCTATAGAAACAAACGTTCAACGGTTTTTCTATTTTTAGCTTGAGCACCCCTAAAAGAGGCCAATCAATTTATATGAGCAAACTTGATAAAACCCAAGAATGCTACAAACTAAGTTTGGTGATCATCCGTCAATTAGTTCTGTAGAAGAGTTCAAATAGTTTTTTTTCTATTTTTAGCTCTAGAGACCCCTAAAAGGGGCCATTCAAATTAATATAATGAGCATACTTGATAACAGACTACCTAAGAATGCTACGGACAAAATTTGGTGATCCTCCATTAATTAGTTCTGTAGAAGCAGACGTTTAAAGGTATTTCTTTTTAAGCTCTGTTGACTCCTTGAAGGGGCCATTTGAAATGACATTAGCAAATTTAAGTGTAACTGTCACAAGGATGGTACAGACGAAATTTGAGATAAATCTGTCAGCAGTTTCAGAAAAGAAGACGATTGTTAACGCATGACGAAGGACGACAGACGCCGGAGTAAACCCTTTAATACTAATAGCTCACCCTGAACCTTCGGTTCTCGTGAGCTAAAAATAGCAGTTAAGAATACTTTTTGAGGAAGACCTCATGTACCCCTAGGCACGAATGGGTATCTGAGTAGAACAACCGACGTTCCGTAAGCTAGCTGGATAGCTTCCTCACAGGAAAGAATCCAATGTTCCTTTCGGGATTTGAACACTTAATGGTGAGGGGCTGTCAATTTTGTCATAATTGTTGGTTTTGTTTTATGTGCTCTTTTCCCCAAATATAAATCAAATCCGTCCGTAACAAAATAATAACAATTTAAGCAAATTTATTAACAAAGTCAATTTAAAGTCAAAATCATCTAAGTATAATTTACATGTCGGTTTGGTCATAATGGTTATTTTGTACACGTATATATCAAATCCGTAAATAAATATCAAAGATATCACACGCTTAATTTATTATTTATCTCATAAATTTCACGGTCATATATGAATTATTTTGATGTCACTCCAGTTTTAAATGATCTTTTCCTGAAGTATACATCAAAACCGTAAATAATTATGCAAATTGGCAAATTGGTGAATAATTCATTAAATTGACTTGTAGTGTCATCGTTAAATAAGGTCAAGGACAAGGTCAATAAAATATTTATGTCATAGAAAGCTGTGCCCTAGTATGAAGACAATCCATGTTTAACTGTTAAAGTTATAGTCAATGAAAGCAAAAAAAGGAAGAAAACAAATAAAATCAATTGTAAAATTAAAATAATTTTAACTTCAAGGTCAAAATAATTTATGAATCAATATGTTAAATTGAGTTTGATATATTCAAAAACATTGTCTACATAAAGTTTGAAGAGAATCTATACATAGATAACTAACATATAGTCAACCGTATCAAAATTTAAGCATTCGTCCTAAGTATTATATATTATCCAAGTCTGAAAACAGTTCAAACATATATAAGCAATTATACAAAAAAGAAAAACAAGCAACTTTCAAATACTTGACTTTCATAAGTAAAGTTTAAGTTTAGTCCAATTAATTTAAAGCTCTTGTCCAAAGAGTTGTTGTTTCCAAGTATGAGGGCATTCCAATGAGAAATAAAGAAAATAACCAAGGTTAATGTTTTCGGATGACAACTGCAACGGGAACAGCATCGGCAATGTCAACGACAACACGACATATCGTAAAAGCTCATAGTTTGTTTGGTTGGTGATATAGTCGTTTCAGAATGTGCATATAGCATATTCTTCCTGCTAGTAAGGATGTGTCCAAGTAACCCTATTTATGATAGCATATACATGTATAATGTCGCTTTCTAAAACCAGAGATTTTTTAAGATATATTTGTGCTGAAATCCAAAAGCATGTTGCATTTAAATGCATACCAATTATCTGAGAAAACTTGTCTTTTTGTTGCAACCACACACAAAAGACAACCGAATTTAAAATTAACTTAAACCATGGCCTTTCATATAGAATGGTCTGAAAACGTGCAATATAAACCCTTCCCGCTAAAATTAAACATGTCTCGGTATTACTCGGTATAGATTGCGATTCGAAACTGATGTAAGAAAAAGGCAAAATAAGATACAAAGGCAAAAATGAAAAGTCTTAAAACATGATGTTCTTTAAAAATATTTAATCTTGTGAAAAAGATAATATTTCAGAGAATGTTATAAAGCCATAAACTTAGAAAAACTTGATGTGCTTGTTCAGAATATTAACCGACAAACAACGCTATTTTGAAAATGCACCAAATTAAGCATCTTATAATTTGATTAATTAACAGTAATGTACTATGCCATATCACGGTTGGTAGATAACCTAATCACGTGACTAAGCCGAGACATCTTTTTTCGTAAAGTTGGTGCGACTTCAGAGCATTCTTTTTCTATCAGTTTCTATTTGTCAAAAATATTCAAAGATGCCAGTATAATTCATTGATATACAAAAAACATAACATCTAATTCAGTCATTTATGAATGTTAATTATACGTTTCAAGTGATTGCTTTAAGATGGGTCAAGTCGTCAATTATGTGGGGCGAATTGTTATGTTGTAAAATCGAAGATAGGACAAGTCGTTATTAATTTGTCCAAAATGGTAGTAGCTTTGGTTGAAATATAACATCAAGTGCAATTAAAAATGATTTTATAAAACATAGTATACTTACAAATCGAAAATTGAGTAGCATAACAATCATAGTTTTTTTGTTTTTTTTGTTTGTTTGTTTTTTTTTTTTTTTTTTTTTTTTTTTTCATTTTATTTTTTTGTTTGTTTTTTTATATAGAATAGTATTTGTGTAAACCTTTATGGACATTAGATCATTTTATAATTTGAATGCCAAGAGTCAAGGTCAGTATGTAAATATTTTAAAAATTGCCTGTTTTCTTCACAGGTCAGCGACTATGTATCTGGGCCCGCGTGTCTTTGCAACGAAATCTATTGTACGACACGATTTAAAATTGAAAAAAAAAACAACAGAATCCCTAAATCAAAACGGTAAAATTGAAACGTTGTAAGCTCAATTTGATTGAGTCTGTACATAGACGGTACTGGAAATTAAAAGATACCGTCCAGGCACTCAAGCACCGGCCTAAGCAGAATTCATATATCAAAGGAGGAAATTGCGAAATTTGGAATTTATAGAAACATCAGCAGATGTGTTTATACGATATTTTTTATTTTAATGTTGTATTGATATAGCTACTTTATAAAGGGTCGTATTTATCAATCAAACTTTAAACATGCCGAGACATGGTTAAAAACAGATCACCTATTTATTAATTGAAATAAACTCAAATAAATAAGTCACTATAATCTTTCACTTTGAAGGAAAGCTTTGCAAACATGAACCATAAACAGTCTACGAGCTTGCACTGTCTTAGGGTTAATGAATATAACAGAGTGAAACATTATAGGTCTACCGCGGGTATTTGATGATGGTATATGCATAGAAGATTAGACAGTTAATCGATGCCAATTCTGCAAGTTATGTATTTACGATTCACTGCGGTTTACTATGGTGGCTGATTTGTGCCATTTGTGTTTTCGTCCCGCGACCCCGCCAAGCGAAAAGTCGAAAATTAACAAATTAAAATGGCGGTGCACGAAATGGCGAAAACACGCTGATTAGCGGGGGCGCGCGGCGAAGTAAAATAAATAAAACTTCGCCCTGCGAGGGCGCGCAGCGAGAATTAAGAAATAAAACGGCGGATGCGCGGGGCGAAGTTTAATAAAATAAAACTTCGCCCTGCGGCCCGCTAATTAGCGTGTTTTCGTCCCGCAACCCCGCTAAGCGAAAATTCGAGAATTAACAAGTTAAAATGGCGGGGTCGCGGAGCGAAAATACGCTTATTAGCGGGGGAATTTGTGAAGATGTCTGTGATCTTTACGATTGTGTCTAACTCCAAAAGCAGCCTTTTGCCTCCCATAACAAATGACTGATGCTATATGTCCTGGGTATACGGAATTATTCTTAACGCCAAATTGTGATCGCAAAAACCCCTAACTGACTCAGTGACGCTTGGACAGAATGGACAGACATTTGAGCAGGTCACCCTTCAGGGCGATACAAATCCAATTAAAAAAAACAACATCAACATCGCAATAGTTTAACGAACATGATTGTATTCTTAGAAGTATAGAATAACATCTAAATGACAAAGTGGCTCTCATTTACGTTGTATTACGTTATAAATAGTGACCTTTTTGCATCATTAAGTGTGTGGTTAAAATGGATGTTTTTCAACGTCAGCGCTTGAAAGTCTTAATTTGTATTACTCCACCACTAATAAAAGAAAACAAGCCTAGTAAAATGCCTTCTTGCGCTTGTTTTCTTGAATTGTAATACAGTGTATAGAACATAGGAAATTTTCAGCCATTTTGGAATCAAAGATGGCTTCCACAATAAATTTTATTGTTTTTGCATCTATTCTTCTTGTTCACACTTCAGCAGACTACAATTAACAAAGCCTTTAATTAAAATGCCAAAAAATTGTTTATATATTGCCCATGGGATAATTAAAGTAAAATTATTGATTTTTAAAGGTCAGGGACTAAAGACACAGACGGGGTAGAGAAAAAACTGAATTCAGCATACTCGATATAAGTAAGTTCAACTACCTGCTTCTTCTGAAAAAATGCCGTTAGGATGAACATTTTCCCAAAATCAACCAGTCTATAACTTGTATTATACTTTATAACATTTATACTTGCATTGGCTTGTCTCTTTTACAACATTTCGGTATTTTACAACATTTCGGTATTTTACAACATTGCTTTGTTACAAAGGTACTTTTTAGAAAAACTTGTAGATCAGACAATGTTAATTCGTTATCAAACACAGGCTCGCATCGCATATCCCAATCTAATATCTTGGCGACAAGTCCCTTTACTGTCTTTTCAGAATCTCCATACTCAGAATAATCATCTTGTTTAAAATGAATAACAATCACGATGATGTTATTTTTGCAATAATCTGAAAGTATGGACAGAAATTTATATTGATGAAATAATAAAGATATAAGGTTGACCAAAATATCAAAAACAGTTTTCTTAAATGATAATTGCTAATATTTTGATAAGATTTCGAGTAAAAAGAAAGTACATTAAAAAGAGATTAAAGCTTATCGTTAAGCAAGGGGGACATTCTTGAAATAAACGGCATAAAATCCTCTAAGATCCATTTTCATGTTTCCACTAATCATTATGCATAAACAATGACCAACAAAATATGGCTTACTTATTTTATGCAATACACCATCGATATCATCTTTAAGTCTGGAATCGTTGATACACAAGATTATAGTTTGATTTTGCGTTTGTGGTTTAACATCTTTTTCGTCGGTTATAATTACTGGTTTGTACTTGTGTTTTGATAGGAAATCCTCTATCTTACGCTGTACCACCGTGACATCTTCGGAGCCACGAGCTTTCAAAATGTTGACTGTAACGAAACAAAAGAATTTATTTACATTACATTTACATTTTGCATACTTTTACATGAATTACTAAAAAGATAAAGGTTGAGTACAACAACAACAACACATACAAGAAAAAAATAGTTAAAATTTAATAATGAGTGTACATTGTAACAATCACTCACAGTCAAGGAAGTTGAAATAAAATTTTGAACGAATAACATTCACTATATTGTAGAGTATATACAAAGTGATGATACTTTTAATAAAGTTTGTATTGTAACAAACACTTTTTAAATTTCAACAAATTGCCAGATTTGATTCCTTTTGAATATTCCCCAAGGTTAATAAATAGTAAATATCTTTTATGAAAGACAACATATCACTCTACTAAATAGCAAGGAGTCTTCTTTATATATAAATAAATTAGCTAGTTTGTTTGTTTTTGGTTTTACGTGACATAAACATATTATAGGTCATATAGCGACGTTCCAGCTTTACTGGTGGAGGGAGACCTCAGGTGCCCTTCCGTGCAAGTTAAACGCTTTAAGTTAATAGGTCAAGTGTACCCTGAAAAAGAACAAGCCATTTTTAGAAACAAATACTGTGGAATAGAACTTAGCTGGAATCCAATATGATTTTCTTAACCCACAGTGATTTTAACATCTATTCTGCCTTTATTAGCTTACACAAATGAACATGATAAAGTACTGTTGTCTATAATAAGACCTGCATATCTTGTTTTTTGGAGAGAAAAAGTTAATAAATATCTGTTTATTTTCCTTATGAACAGTAAAAGAAAACTATACAAACCTTCTTTTTTGCAATTTCCTGAAAAAAAAGAAAAAGGAATACACAGCTCATTATGAAAACGAAAAACGGTTTTGGTGAATGTAAGTTTAAGAATTAGTTGGTTGCTTCGGTTAACTTAGTCAGTTGATGAAAACCCCTTAACGTATTTATTTTCCTTTCTATACAGAAAGTGTATTGTCAATGGACATCGAATGCAAAATATTGAGTTCTCATAAACATCCCGTTTACTCATAAACCGTTTTCATCGTCTTTGTCCTTTCGTGTTTTGCATACTTTGATATGGGAATGGGGGCGCAAATCCTTGCGATTGTAATTACGGTGACACACTATACCGGAAATAGATAAACCATTTTGTTTTCTATTATCAAGTCAAGTCAATCTTGTTTGTATTGCTTTATGCTGAGTTCACGCATTTTAATGTCAAAGAATTGATTCTCTCATTTTGATGTGAATAGTTCTTGGTTGAAATATGAACATATTTGTTTAAATTCTTTTTGTTTGTCAAGTTATTTGATTTTTCTAACCGTCAATTCCCTGCTTCATTTTAATAGAATCATTGCTGTTTTGATAAAAGATCAATAACTATTCATATAGAATTGGCATGATTCAGTGTATGAATTCAGTGAGAGTCTAGATTATAGCATATGTAAAATGGAATATGACTTTGAAAACAACTCATCAGATTTAATAAAAGCTTCGTTTTAAATTCAGATGTTTGAACCATGAAAATGCCCATTGAAACCAATAGTAGTTCTAATAATCAGTTAGATGATTAAATTCATATTTTTATAAAACAAAAAATTATTTTTTCCACCATGTGAGAAAGACCCGTTTACACAATTCTTATTCTCAGAAATCAAACTTTGTTAAATTTCAGAGTAACTATAAATGAATATTGTGAGCAAAACTGTTTTTAAATTTCTAATTTAACATTTTGCAAGAATAATATTTTTGATATTAATTTAATAAAACATGCTACTCTTACTTCCCCATTCTAAAATTGCAATTGTGAATGTGTTGTTATTTTTTTTTTTTCATGTACATAATTATGTGCACAACATTGCCATGGTTTAAATTTACTTTGCGTCTCTTTTTTATGTTTTGTATTGTTTTTCCTACAGTGCTTTTTGCGACGGACGCGCCCTCAGGCGCGTTCAGAGCTAAGTCATCTACACATGGGATTTCGTTGGCTACACTCGCGCAATGTGTCCTAAACCAATTAACAGCCCAAGAAATAGTACATGAATTTGATCCTTCAAAACTCCCATACTTTGTCTGGATAGCTTAATGTCTTCCATATTTAGCCTTTTCAATTTCAAATTAAGTTATCCAAGTTAAAATATTAACGTATATTATTGATAAAAACGTTGTAGTCCCGTAGTATTATTGCGCAATATGCAAATTACTGCTGAAACGATTTACCGCTGTCGAAAAAGTAGGACAGCAAATTATACTACAATAAAGTGTAACCTCTGAGTTCCAAGACATTATTAGTAGGAAATAAATATTTCTACATTATACAAAACATTATTATTAACAAATCAAAAGTTTTTCGTGACTCTAGGATATAACTCGCGCATTAATAAAGAAGAACTATTTTCGTGACTCATACCGCGGGTTTAGCTGAATATTCAGCAGTTATTAATATATTAGATACAGTTCAATGGCTAGTATAAAAATATCTATTTTTGAAAATGCATGTAAGACACTTTACCGCCATGTAGTCTTGAAATCATGGTAAGGAAGTTATAATATCAGTTCTACTTCCGATTCTTGTGGTTTGTTTACATATTTTACTAGGTCATGATATGAGTTAACCTTCGATATTCTAAAAATAGATTCTGCTTTAACCTGTTCTGATTTTTGGACAGGCGATTAGGAAGTACAACCAGCGGATTGTAATGCAATAGTTTTAGAAATGCTATACAATTGTAAGAAGCAAACAAGTTGAAAATGGAATTTAGTGTGAAGTTGAAAAGGACAACTAAACACTGTAGTGCTTAAGTGACATTTAAATTAAAATAAAAACGATGTGCTCTGGCCTCTACATCTTTACCTTGTAAATAAAAAAATCTAAGAAATACACTATTAATTGCTGATGATTTTAACCAATTTTTTTTTAATGAGACATATCCAAGAGAAATAAAAATACAAATGACTTATATTTTATTGTCTGTATGCCCACTATGATATAACACGAAGCAATTCTAAATAGCATTCTCAAATGTACAATGTATTATGTTTGAAGTTTATTTGCCTGGATTTATTCTAGAAATATTTCGTTGATAGTTTTTTTTTCTATTTACATATCATTTCTTAGAATAATTCGATAAGGACACTGATTTACAAGTTTGACCAGAGTTTTTAGGCATAAATTTCATTCTGTATTTAAGTGCTTGAAAGTAGAAAATCTGAATTATATCAATTTGGGACACAAAATATATTGCTCTACAAATCTCGAACTTGTATGGAACAAATTTTCTCTGTTATATATTTTGTGTTTTGTTTTTATTTTGTTTTGTTTTTCTAAAAGAAGCCTTGGTGTCTCTCCGGTTGCATGTCCGTCGCATTCAGTGCTGCAGCACTTTGATTTTCTCTTATGCTCGATTGGGCCTAGATGTATTGATAAAACTTTAAAAGTTGATCTATATTTGATAGACACAAAGACTTTTGTCTTTTCTGGTTACATCTCTGAGTAAATCAAACATCCTTCTATGTACATTAGCAACTGATATCGTCGTAGAAATATGTAAATTATGATAATAAAACAAACTTACCTCTACTAAAACATATGCATATATATATCACAAGGATTAAAGCATTGAAGGGAGCAATAGCAATAATAAGTCCTCTCATATATGATATATATGTCGTATCGTCCTTTTCGTCTTTGTTATCATCTACAATGTCTTCCACACGTAGATCTGCAATAATACTGATTTAAACAGACACATAAAAGAACATTACAACTAAAAAAATCGTCTAAAATATTACAAATTTCGTTTAACAAATAAATTCGTAAGTACTGAATGTGTTCGTTTTACTACAAGTTTTTTTCATATAAGAACTATTTGACTCAATTATCCATAGCGTTGTTACTATTATGTCCAACTACGTGTTCCAATATATATACATGTAAATCAATTAAACAAAAAAGTTACACTAAATTCTAACACGACCCGCATTTTCCCCTATTGAACATAGAAGAACCGAAAGTGTGTGCTATTTTGCTATAAAATCACTGTTTGACTTTCTTCGAGTTTTATGTGACGTAATCATTATACACGTGACGTAAGCACAAAAAATGTGACGCACTGACAATAAGTACGGAAACAAATCAGGCGCAATTAAGCTAATTATAATGTACGGCAGCATTTATTTGTTGATGTCGTGTTAGAATCGAAATAATATATCCAAATCGGTGATTTTATCGCTTGATAAAATCACTGTTAGTCGTTCGGATGCGCATCATTATATCTCTCGGGCTACGCCCTCGTGATATACTTACTTCCTTGCATTCGAACTCTAAACAGTGATTTTATTGAGTGATAATATCACAGTTTGGGATATATTATTTCTTAAATATCGTTTATGATATAAAATTCATTGATTGACACGTGTTATAAACATAGGATTGTTCGATCTCTTCATGAAATTGTATAGAATATTGTATAGTATATAAATAGTTTGATTTACGGCTAAAACTTTAGAATTATTACCTAATTGTGGTATTTTGACATCTGTGTCATTTATAACAAGCTGCTTATAAGTTGACATGTGATGTTGCCTGGTATTTGAAGACCACTTCAAAACATCCATGTGCTCTTTTCGTCCACTATATATGAGAAATGCTTATAATATTTGCATTCTCTAACAACTTTATTTTGAATAGTTTTCTTTTAAGTTTTAAGCATTTTGCCTATAAGTATTTATAAAATTTCTTATTAAAACTGTCATTATATACAAAATGGTTATATATTCAATTTAAAAAAATGGCTGTGCTAAGTATCTATTAAAGATCATGTTTGAAATTTATCTTCTCGATAAGAATAATTCAAAAGAGATACCTATTAGTTCTATTACATTTGTGTTAAGAATGGCAAATGATACATTAATAGAATTACACTTACTTGTTAGATTGTGTTGATATACTGGTACATTCATAAACAGAACTTTCATAATCAGTTTGAAATTTAAGTGTTACTTTAATTTCATACCGAATGTTCCGTGACACAAAACTGAAGTCAAAGAATATATCTCATAAACTTTCATCACTTACTTAAATAACGTTTTTAAAGCACTTTTACATGTCCATTATAACTCATATTAAACTTGTATAATCAATGATTATAATTATAATTATCTGTTTTAAGTTACGTCAAAGGTTTTTAAAGAACACTTTAACACAAACTAGTTTATAGCACTTCATGACACTCTATAGTACTATAACACACATTTATAATATAATAATTGAGAACTGTTTACAAAAACTACTTACCGACATTTCTGTGACGGATACCCTTTTGTTCTTTCAATCAAATAAGACAGGGCTTGATATTCAATTGTATCGTGCAAAGGAGTTGGCAGTGCAGTTGGTGTTTCCAAGTAAATCAAGAAGTTGCATTTATGACTGTTGCCTGAGTAGAAAAGTAAATAAGTTTGTGCGAAGACATTAATTTGAACATTCATAAAGGAAACGTTGGCTATTTCTTAAAATAAACTTGGTTTGAATGTTGTTGTTCCATTGATTTTGAAGGATCATGACACTGTGTTTATTTGACTTTAATTATACTCGCCACCATTTGCCCATATGGATGAGTCCTCAAGTATAGTGCTAGTCATTTTAGATTTTTGAAGGAAAGTGTAAGATACAGAAAGATGCAACAATTCAAATTCTCATCCGAAAGACAGTCTGGCAATTTCAATGGTCTGCCCAGCAACTGAACCCGCAATATCGAGGTTACAAGTCTCGCGCGCTATGCGGGCTTGTCTCTTTTCGATTTTCTTTTATACTTCTCAATTTTGCGTGGCAGCTGTGAAAAAGAGCACTGTGCTTCACTTTAGTGTTGTTGTATAATGAATGATTCCAGCATGCTAGTTTTTTAACATTGAATACCATTTATACCGGTGCTAGGGGATGGGAAAAGATGTTGCATTTTTTATTTTAACATTATCTCTCATAAACCGTCTCTACAATTTTTATTTTTATATAAAGCTAATTTTTTATTGCTTCCTAGGGATCATCAATTACCAGATTTCATAACTATATTCATGTTTAAAGTGACATTATGCCCATCCAAGGGTGTATAGTGAGTGAACGGGTGAAAGTCAAAATATGTTTTCATTTTGCCATAATTTCTTTTAATTTAATAATTAAGTTTGCATAAACATTGAATAACTCACAGATCCACACAAAATTTCTGTAAATATCCATAAGAATTTACCTATAACGCTTAGTTTATAAAAAGAGTGGGGCAGTCTTTTTAAATTTTAGACAGATTTATAATTTTACCCTTAACATTTTCCAATATCAACTGTTGGTCAATCACCATTTTGACAGTCAATCTTTTGAAATATAAAGTTAATTTAGCTCAACTTGACGATGAAAATTTGAGCATAATGTCACTTTAAATTTAGAATTTTAACACATTTTTAATCTTACTTAATAAATCTACCTGGTTTGCAAGGATTTTCGTCATTTATTATAAAGTTCGACGTTTGTTTCACATGTCTACCATCAGCTGCATTTGGAAATCTGAAGCAATATATAAATTATTTTATTATGATATGCCTATCCTCACAAGAATAACAACGCTTGAGATATTCAAATATCCAGTAAATATTCAATTTTCCTATGATACAACAATATGTTGACTAAAAAGACTCCTCAAACAATTCCAAACTTTAAAGGCATTAATTCTTTTAAACATGCACAGTACAATATAACAAAAAGCGTAATTTTTTAACAAATATATGTACAACAAGAATTTAAAAAGTATGTTGTTAAGGTGAAAATAACATAATAATGAATATACAGAATATTAGGGGGAACATATGAGATTCAAAACATTGAATTAAAAACCTTACTGACATATTTAATTTCTTTTATAGAAAATCACAGAACCCTGCAACTTAAAGATAGGCTACACTTAATACAATGCTTATCAAATACGAGAGGTGTTCAAATTATTATGAACAGTTTTAATACCTTCCTTATTATTTACTCACATGTATTTTATTGCAATTGATGCTCAGTCTTGGATCCATTGCAATAGCAAATCATACTACACCTTTTGGCCAGTTTGCTCCATTTTGTCTTTGAGAACCTTTTTAAGACCGGACATAGTTAAAATCTTGCGTTTCTGTAGACTATGTTTCGGGAGCTGCATCTGGGATTTTTGACATTCTGCGGGTGTTATGTAAAATAACATTGTGTTTGTAGAGAAAGTTGATTATGACTAAATGCCGAGTCTTGATGGAAAACCATATCATTCTATCTTCCAGGAAAAAGTTGCAAAACGTCTTTTTTGAGAAATAGCTTTAACACTTTGTCTTTGTAATATTTCATTTTCACTTTCAACCTTTTTTTGATAAACAATTGAGATGTCTTGCCATAGTAACTAGCTCAGGTGTAAACCATAGACCCTTGTGCAAATGCATCTTGTTTTACTAACTTCAGTTTGTTCAGGTCTGTCTGATTATATCAAACGTAGCAAACACGACGTCGACAGTAACTACACTCATAAAAATATATTCCGCAGTTACGACAGAGATATACAACACGGCACTTTTTTCTGAGTTTTGCTTTTAGAGTATTTGCTTTTACTCTGTTGACAGTGCCTAGAGACAAATCTAACTTAACTGTCATTTCTATTCGTGCGGGAGGAATCCTCAACGCAATCATATTACGGATTTTACATACAACGTCAAAATTAGCTGCTTTGCGACGTTTGGTAAAAGAGTAAAAAAAACACTTTTACCTGTTTTGTGTTATTTCAAATAGCACCTTTACCACGCTGAATGCGATGAACAGTAGCAAAAGAAACATTATGTCCCATCTGTTTTACTTGTTTCACAATGTCTCTGTAGGACATTTTCGCTTGTAATGCCCTGAACTTTTTTATTTTTGCTCTAACAATTTTGAATTTTCGACTCAAATGAGATGGGTATATGTATGATACACTTCTTTACATAAATTAATCGCCTTGCACAAGTTTTGTGAGAGCTATACGATCTTATAACGTGTTTTGATTGGGTTCAGTAATAAATGGAACACATCTCGTACTGACAATTTTTAAATTATTTTTTGATACGGAAAAAGTCAATTTACCTGTCTCTTAATGTGACACATTTGATACATTTCTGTTTGTTTGTACCTGCATACCTAATTAAAACTACACCTTCATATCTTCTTTGCATCTTTCTGCAATGTAATTTCATTGACTTTCAATGTTACAGTATAGTCTGATTGGTTAATATTTCTGTTATTTTATCTTTAGGTTAATGATAGCTCTTTTAATAAATGTTTTCAATTAAGAAAATGAAGATAAAGTAAAACGTGATGTTTTCAATATTATCTATGAATAAACACTTTTGTTGAAATTGTATATATTAATATTTTGTGAAGCTTACGGTTGTTTTAAAGTGCCTGTTTTGTTCGTTATGGACGATGACTCCTCAATGATACACCTTTTCGTGCAAGTCTTAAATGGTTCAATATCTTGTTGGTAATTTAGCAGCTTCTCCGGTGGTATCACTCTTTGGTCTATCAATAAAAAGATGTACAGTTTTCTTAAATCAATTAGAAATATATTGAAAAAAAAAACAGGCATGTTAAAAGCAATGAAAATTAGATGAAACTGAATTCATTTACATTGTGAATTCGAAGCCAGTAAATATATATCTTAAATTATTTGTCCATTATAATATCATTCATGTAATTGTTCAGGAAAAATCAAGATCGTTATGCATATGATGATTATTATCGTATTTATCGATTCAAATATTTTTTACAATGTAAACTCTAGATTGTTTAAAATTCTAAACGTTTCACTTTTTTTTCGACAATATCTTTTAACTTAAATAAAATTTTGATATGATCTTGTATATATATAACGTACTTAAGATGGGTATCTTGCTTTCCATGGAACATTCTAATATAGAATAGCAGGTTAAAGATAAGAATCTAGGTCATTCATTTAGGTCCAGATTTTTTATAAATGTAGCTTAAAATACAAAATAGGGTCAAAATCTTGGTCAGCTAATTACTTAACTTCAGTTGCAAAATCAAATTTTGGCATGTGGTAATTTTTTAAGGGTTTAACCAAAATGGTTCACTAAGGCAAAATCTAGGTCAGCTGATCTCGAAATAAATTCTGTGTCAAAAACCTACCCATGGTCACAATTTCATGGATATTTAAAAAATGTTATCACTTAGGGCCACGAGTTGAACAACTATAAGACATTGCTACATACTAAATATCCTGTTGGTTTCTGGTTTATTTTTTTAAAAAAAACAGACACACGGACGGGACCAATTTTTCAGCTTTGTTCATTTCGGTTTCATTTAACTTAAGCCTTTTCAGTAATTGTTGTAGATGTCAAGATTCATAGATTTTTTCCCTACTTGACTTGAAATCAAATGACACTTGTAGTGGGGTAAATTTAGACCCCATGCTCATGATTCGAACGAACCTACTAAAGGTCTAGAATAGGCGATTTGTTATATCAATTGTGTGAGTTCTGGACGTCTGGGTTTTGAAGAAAGATTTTTCATAAATATTTCTCTATATGACTATGTGTAATTAGAGAAAAGATTAACAAGGCAGGGCAACATTCGATGACCGCATCCCTTATGTCAACAGAATTGACCCTTTGCATGGGGCTAATTTTGACTCTAAACCAGGGTTTAAACATTATCAACAGAAGTCCTCCAGTCAGAGATTAAAAGAAAAAGATAAATTTTAACATTTTGTTATATGACTTTAGGTCCTTGCTTTGAAAAGATTGATATAAGTCCACTAGACTTTTTATGTTTCAGACAAAAGGTGTAACCATATTTGATTTCATGGACCAAAACATTTTACAAATTTTAGTAAAGCTTTACACTAGAAACATCACAGACAAGTTCAATTACTGGCATGACACTTCAATAAGAATATATGTACACTATTTAGTGTATGTGTATATTAAAAGACATACTATTAGTTTCTATTAATTAAATGAAACTAAATAAAAAAAATGCACTCACCTGTAATTACAAATAACACTAAAATCACAAACAGTCTGTTCATTTTTGCTGTAAATGAAATATTAAAAGCTTTATCTCTATGAACACAATATGTTGTAACTACGTTATAAGTTTGATTATACATTCGAAGTTGCTCTCTTCATTGATTGTTAAAAGAAAGCATTTAAAAAAAGATTAAAATATTCATTTTTTTTAAAAGTCGATCGTTCAACTTCTGATCATCAATCATTCCTTGAATTTCATCAAACAAGATACATCCTTGAATTTTTGTTTATTTGTGTATACAGTATATAATAGTCTTACCTTACTCCTAACCTGAGTTTATTACAAACTTAATTATCTCCCAAACTTGTACTTTGTATTTGACCATATCTATAATATGCGGTTCAAGTGTTTAATGATGATATAATGATTTGGTAAGCTATGGTTAAGCTGATAAGATAATAGACCTAAAAAGTAATTATATTATTATAACACAATACGCATCCAAATAACTCGTATATTGTTATTCGAAATTTGACTGAAAAAGGTAAAAAAAGATGCCAAGCTCGACACCAGAGCTGGTCATGCTCATGGTGAGCTTTTGTAAGAACAGAACAAATACATTCAACAATAAGGAATTGAACTTACGTTCCTCTTCAATCTATGCATGCAACAAATATAAACATAAGTCAATATACATGCATAAGCATATAGTTATATAGTCATAATAATACATATTACACAATTTGCAAGGTTTATGTTAAAGTAAAAGACATCAATATTACAAGACATAAACAAAACTATAATCTACAAATGTAGAGGATGAGCCATAAATCTTATACGTTAACACTAGCATTGCGAAGTGTTGATGCATGAAATAAATAGGTCAAATTATTTAGCACAGATTTTGTCTTTGATTTTAACAGTTCGCAAAATTTCTACATGCTTGTTTTTTTTCCAATAGTACTTTAGAATATACTGTTTTCTGAAGTCACTATATTTATTACACAGCAGTATAGTCTGATTTTATTGACCTGTCAATTATGAATACATTATAGGACTCATTTAAATATTCGATCCCACTTCGGTTTGGTCCGTGTAGTTTACGAGAATTAATGTTGAGTATATTAGTCATGGATTGAAAGTCACGCCAGCTTAATGTGAGGGTTTTCGTTAATTCACAATAGGACAGTCGGTAAAGAGAATGCCTGATAATTGAGAGGTCTGTGGTTCGATCCTTACTGTTGCCATTGTTTTAGTACTCTTTATTTATTTTTGCAGTATATTTTAATGGAACAGATTTGTAGTGTGTTTTACGGCATTGAAAAGACATTTATTGATTTTAATCCGTTTTAATTTTAAACATGAATTCTTAAAAAAACATGTTATTTAGAAAGAGTATATACATAACAAAATTAAGTAAAATATAATAAAAAAACGAACAACATAAAATAATCATGTATAGATTAAATAATGTTGAAAGTATTAATAAGAAGAAAAAAACATGAACCAACGCGGCCTCGAACTTATAACACGTATGGCACTCAGATTATAAACTCGTGATTTACCCTACTGCTCTATAATGCTGAGTACACTTTGTTTAGAGATACAAATTAAATTAAATTCCATCGTACAGCGTACATCTCACGGAACTTACCGAACATCTACCGAAGATTAATATACTGTGTGCATCGACCGTGTAATCAGTATGTAATTGACAGGTTAATAAAACCAAACAATACATTATGGTATTTATCTTCCAGTCCGTGCTTGATTCACATATTTGACAAAGTCTTTTATTCCTGTCTAATCAATTTCTACCGTAACTTCCCGTTTCTATCCTAAGGTTATGTGCCGATATTCTTATTTTAGATAGTAGAAAACTTTTGTTTTCGGCAACCTATTTAGATACTTTTCATAACCGAATTCAGTTTAGTTTTAATATGTCTGTATAATGAATACAATACACTGTTATTGCTTATATTCTCCGACCATTCTTGTTAAAATTTGTCAGTCAGCCTTGGTTAAACTCCATAAGAAAATAATGGGATTGTACCGATAACGGATTTTCCCATTCATATCCAAACCGTATGAATATAGAAGATTTCTTATATTACTAGTCCAATTGGTTTTACGGTGATTAAAATCCTTTAATGATATTTCATACAGCTCTTTCAGAATACAGTTATCAGAACTGTTAATCTTTAACCAGTATTTTACTGCACGAACATAGCGGTTAATAAATAACGGATACCTTCCTAGTTCGCCGTAAATGCTAGCATTGCTTGAACTTGTCTTCACATTAAATACCATTTTACAAAACTTTAAATGAATGCGCTCTAATTCTTAAGATTTTATTACTCCCCATACCTCACATGAGTAGTTCAAAATGGAAGCAACAAATCAAATAACTGATAATACGTACTTGGTGTTGAATATTGTTCAATAAGAAGTTCAAAGCTTAAGACCATTACCAGATAGAACGTTCGATTTGCATTAAAAGCTCCAGACGAGCTAAATACGACTTCTAACTAGTTAAAATTTGAAACAGTTTCCAAGCTAACACCATTGTAGTTCCATTTTCTGTTTCTTCTTGGTCTTCCATCCTTTTTGAAAATGATTACTTTAGTCTTTTCCGTGTTAACTTTAATACCCCATATTTTACAGTACTCACTCAATAAATTTATATTTCTTTGTAGACCATCCGGACTTTTGCCTAAAATCGACATTTCGTCTGCATACATAAGAAGCATTAATGTTACTTCGTTCAACAGTATTCCATTTTAACATTCTTGTTAATACATTTCGATGTTTTCAATAATCAGGCCATCCTTAAAAAATGTTCGTTTGCAGTAACGCGACCGACTCACAAAATTTGCCCCTACTCAAAATTTTTTTTCATGGTCTGGATAAAAATAATTTTTTTTTGGAATCAGAAAATTATGCCTTGTGCTTTGTTTTGGTTCTTTTAAAGGTTAATAGAAGAAATAAAATGTAGGTCTTATTAAATTAGAATTCAGTTATCAATTTATTAATTGTTACCAGATTATCAAAGCATATATTGTCCAGCATTTTGAAATTCCATGTTTATTTGGGAGTACAGTTCAATAAAAAAAAAATCGACCTACCTACCCACCTTAATAATTCTGGGTCGGGTTACTGCAAACAAACATTTTTTTAAGGATGGCCTCAGAGCATACAAAAATGGCGAAGTTCTGTCACCTTGTTTCAATCATGTAGCAAGATTGATAAAGTCAGTATTTTTCACAATGTTTAATTTTACTCCTCACTTCAGTATACATAGCTCTAAGTATACGTCTTTTTCCATCATTCAACATATTTTCCACTAAAGTATGAAGAGCAAAACAATCGTCTGTCGTAGAAAATCCAGCGCCAAATCCAAACTGCGCATCCGTATTAATATCATAGTTAATCTCATGAGGACCAACAAGTAAGTTTGTTATTTAGCACTGATGTAAACAGTGCTAAACAACTTATTATTAAAGTTATACCGCGATAATTATTAACCTGATTTGCGTGACCCTTTTTATATAATGGTATGATCAATCCCTCCATCCATTGATCCGGAAAATATCCACTATCAAACATTTTATTGAAAATATCAACAATATGTCCGATTATAATATATCCGGCTTCTTTAAAATATTCATTAATCAAGTAGTTAAAGGAGCCAGTTTAACCGCGTTTTAGAGACTTAATCGCTTCATGATTTCTTCTGACGTAATAACCCCGTCGAGCTCTTTATATACGGCACCCATATGATGTCAATATGGTTCAGATTTCTCTTACAAAATTCCTTTGCATCGAGATTGCCTGAGACTGAGATTTCCTCAGATATTCCTTTTAAGAAATTTTAAGAAATTCGTGAAAACCGGCTATATCAATATGTTCTCCTATTCTGTATTTCTTTTTTGAGAAGTACTACCAAAATGTTTTGGGATTTTCCAAGTAAGTTTTAATTTCGGACATTTTTAACCTAGTATATTTGTATTTCCTTCTCTTCAAAACAATTTTGTACTCTCTCTTTTTCAGATTAAAATAAGTTCTATTTTCGTCTGTTTTCGTACAATTTAAATATTGGAATGCTTTGAGGTATTCTTATTTCTTAATATGAGATTCGTTGTTCAACCAGAGACCTTTTGACAAGAAATTCTTCCTTTTCATCCAGGATATCTTTTGTGTATAAAGCCCGTTTGTTAACGCTTTTTTACTTCTTTTTGAACAGCGGAGAAGCAACATTGTTTATAAGACTTATAAAATCACTTACGCAATTGTTTATAGATGTTTTATCACAATTATCATGACCATTTAGTATAGCATTAAAATCGGGTAGTTTCGATATCAAAGATCTCCATAAAGTGTCTCTCTTATAGCTGTCCGATCGTATACAAGTATCTTCACCGTGTGTTTGTTGGTTATAGTGATCTTTTAATCCTGCACTATTAATCGAGAATGCTAATGGTGCGTGATCCGAGAACTCATTAAACTCTTGTATTTCAAAGGAACTTATCTGATCGAACCTGTCTTCTTTACACAACAGATAATCAATTGTACTGCAGCCACTTACACAGTTCGACATTTTCCAATCGACCGTTACAAATCCGTAAACCTGTACTTTTAAACCAATTGTAATCCATATGAATTGCTAGTTATAATAGTTAAGTCCACCAAATGCCCTAATAAAGGTTTATCCGGACAATAATCGGCCACATTTGCATCAAAATCAATACAATCTTTTTATAGTATCCAGCGATGATGGGAGTATCTTATGAATGAAAATCGAAAATATCAGCTTCTAGAATTTCAAAAAATTTGCCGTTAATGCTATTGTAAACTGGTGACTTATCTCAGCATATTTACACGCTACATAAATAAACATTACTTTCTAATGAGAAAAATGTTTTGTCTAACTTAATCCAAATGATTGTATCGTGATGATTTCTGACTATTGTGATACCGTCTTTGATGCATTCTTTGTAGTATAAAGCAATACCTCCAAAATTTCGCTTAACTTTCTTACTTTGAAACTTTCTATAAAATATATATATATTATTATATTATATAAAATTATACTTTAATCATTGAAAAAAAATCTTCCCCTCTGACATACTTTAATTATAATAAATAAACTTATTTAACACTTAAAGATCCTGTAATCAATTTACATATAACGCTTTTGAACATTATTGTTGACGTCATGTCATTTGACGTTACTGGCCATTAAACTGAAACAACGTTTTGTACATGTATCTTAGTACGTAAAACGCATGCAAAACT